CTCCACACTTGGAAATCCCTTCACCTACTGCTGGAGCCCAGTCAGCTCCTGCTGAGAGGACCAGCACCTGCTTAGCAGCACTCACAACACTCCCCAACAACTGAGGGAATGGAGGAAACCTTCTCCAAATAAAACTCCAGCAAGAGTTTAGACAGGCTGAGTGTAATTTTCGGGTTGGAATTCGGCCAGAGCGCTGCAGGTATGGTGGATACTTTCCCTGGAAAAGCTGGGAGTGCATGATCAGAAGGAAAGGGCTTAAAAATGAGGGAAAGATTCTTGATTTTTAAAAAAACCCCCCACTGTTCTTGTGGCTCATGTGGAAAAAATATGCCATAAAAATAAAACCTGTGTGGCTGTGCAACAGCCCTCCTTAGAGGTAATTTCAGAGTGAGCAAAGATGATAAAATGATATATTAATTGGTAAAATATGATTTCACTCGAAATAAAGTGGTGAATCTCACCAAATTTAGCTCCACAGATGCAGCAAAGTGTATTCCTCATCCAGCATAAAAAGGTGCCATTTGTTTGATATCGGTTTGATGAATTATTAATTTTATCACAGCTAAGATGACAGCTAATATTAGAACATTGAATTATTAATTTTCAAACTTGGCAATAAAAAAGCAGAACAAACACAAATTGAGACACATTTGAGGTGTGAGGTGACTCGCTTACTTAATCTCTTTGAGAAAACGGAACCGCAGAGACAGAGATTTAAATCTTGCCAAGCAACTGCTTTTACTTTCAAACCTCAGGTATGATTTTTAGCTTTACTTTAAAAATAGCATTCCCTAACTACTCTAATGAACTATTCATACTGGATATCACTCATCTCCTCTGTTTGCCAGCCAAAACAGCCTCTCTGTGTAATTTTTATAGATGTTGGAGATAGTTTTTGGGGCACTTAGGCCAAACTATAATAAGGAAATGTGAAACCCAGGTAGAGGAGTCATCTTACTTTTTTTTTTTTTTGATGATGAGCAGGTTGAAAAATACAAGGGAATATTATTTAATTTATTCTTTTGCTCCTCTTCTTTCCTGCTGTTTTTTTTTCACCACTGTTTGTCATGTGGCACAGGGTAAATAAGCACTTCAGGACTTGTTTCCTTAAAACTGTTTCTATGACTTTTTCAGCCCTAAGAGCCAGCACAGGATTTATCTGGCTCCACTCCTGCCCTACAGGCTAATACTGATTTTCCTGTCCAATGTCTCCTTTGCAAATATTCTTCCTTCCCAAGTCTCCAAATGAAGATGGGAACTTTGAAGTCTTTCTTCTTCCATGGCAAAAGAGTCAACAAAACATTTCCAAATGTCATACCTTTTTTATTTTTTTTTCAGAAGCCGTTTCATTGCTGTCCCTGAACGTGGATAAGGGTCTGAAAATGAGCACAACTTGTGACCATCAGGGATTCTTAGCATAGGTGGATTTTTGAGGGCAGTATTCCCAGGCTGAAGAAGAGAAACAGCTGTCTGTCCCCAAGCCTCATTGGGAATTAATCCAGCTCAAAGCTGGATTAACTTCTATTTAAAAAAAAAAAAAAAAAAAAAAGGCCACAAACTTGTATTCCACTGCCACATATGGCGATTATTTAGACTACAAATATTAGGCAGGGCTAACTGGTTGGGTACTAAAGAGAGGCTGATTTAAATCACTTATTTTTATCCTGCTGACAAAATGGGGTGGGGGATGAAAAGCATCTGTCACCCATCTGAGTTTGGTGAGAGGCCGTGTGACAGTGAGGGGTGCAGGAGGGTGCAGGAATGTCCCTGGGGAGCTCTGATGGGGCACAGAGTGTGAGCATCAAGGGCACAGCAGCCCAGCTGTGCCCAGGAGGGGGCTGCCCAAGGCCCTGTGGTGAGGCATGGGCACACCTGGCTGCTGGAAAAGGGATGAAAGAGGAGCTGAGATGGGAAAGGAAGGGATGCTGGACACTGAAGGGAGCTTGTTTGATCTCTTTGCTGCTGCCAGGGTGATTACTGCTGTGCACAGGGTGGGAGGGGAGGGCTCAGAACTGGAATGCATGTAGTCTTTAAAATACAGCTTGCATGGGAAGGCCAAAATGCATAAAATTAAACTCACTCCGACTGAGTGAACCTGTTTATTGCTTAAATTAACTTTAACTCACTGTGTGCTCATCTGAGAATTATAGCAGGGACAACAGCAGTTTAAGAGTTCAGAAGCTTTGCAGGTACAGTTATGACCTGCAGTACAGGTGTGATGGGAGTTAAAGATAACATCTGCTCCAGATGTGAGAACACTCACAGCAAAACCCAAACCATCAGCTGCAGCTTTTGCTGCAACTACAGACTTGGATAAAGGGCAGAATGAAGTTCTTCTTGATGCTCTCCCAAGGAACAGAGTGTATTTGCCACCTTTTCTTTTCTTTTCTTTTCTTTTCTTTTCTTTTCTTTTCTTTTCTTTTCTTTTCTTTTCTTTTCTTTTCTTTTCTTTTCTTTTCTTTTCTTTTCTTTTCTTTTCTTTTCTTTTCTTTTCTTTTCTTTTCTTTTCTCTTCTCTTCTCTTCTCTTCTCTTCTCTTCTCTTCTCTTCTCTTCTCTTCTCTTCTCTTCTCTTCTCTTCTCTTCTCTTCTCTTCTCTTCTCTTCTCTTTTCCTTTCTCTTTCCTTCTCCTCTTCCTTTCCTTTTCTTTTCTTTTCTTTTCTTTTCTTTTCTTTTCTTTTCCTTTCCTTTCCTTTCCTTTCCTTTCCTTTCCTTTCCTTTCCTTTCCTTTCCTTTCCTTTCCTTTCCTTTCCTTTCCTTTCCTTTCCTTTCCTTTCCTTTTCCTTTCCTTTCCTTTCCTTTCCTTTCCCTTTCACCTTTCACCTTCTCCCTTTCCTTTCCTTTCCTTTCCTTTCCTTTCCTTTCCTTTCCTTTCCTTTCCTTTCCTTTCCATCCCTTCCTTTTCCTTCCCTTCCCTTCCCTTCCCTTCCCTTCCCTTCCCTTCCCTTCCTTCCCAAATTCCCTTCCCTTCCCTTCCCTTCCCTTCCCTTCAAACCTTCCCTTCCCTTCCCTTCCCCTCCCTCTCCTTCCCCTCTTCTTCCTCTTCCTTTCCTCTTTTTTTTTCTTTTGTCTTGTTTTGGTTTTGTTTGTTTTGTTTGAGTTTTATTTGTTTATTTTCCATTTCAGTGAGGCAGTCGGAGGTCATGGATCAGCCACGGGAACAGAATTGATCCACGGGTGTGTTTCATTCATCCTCGGTTCACACACTCAAGCACAACACAATCCTTTTTTTTTTTTTTTCCCCCATGCAAAACCAGCAGAGTTTGTAATAAGTACAAACCCCCAAAACACAGTTGGTCATATCAGGCTGAGTTTCAAGATCTGCCTGACTGTGCTCAGCAGAAACCCCAGGCAGCTCCGCTTTGGGTTCGTACACTCTGGTGGGCATTACATTCCCCAAAATACCAATATCTGCTATAAAACAGCTGCTTTCCTGATGAATCCCAAAATCTTTTTGAGGGTTCTCCTTTCCCTGACCTATCCTAGTAGGGAGAGCCAAAAAGAATGAAAACATAACCCACTTACTTCCACCTTTCAAAGGTGATTCTTGGTGTCTGGGTTTGAATTTCTCTGGTTTCACACATTGCTGGTTATGTTGCCTATTATAAAGGACTCAGTAAGACACACTTTCTCCCAGTGGTATTTTGTTTTGACACTTCTCAAAAGAAAATACAGCTCATTATTTTATACAGGATTCAAATATGTTGTCACCTGGTTTTCATGCATTAAAATACGATTTGTTTTTTGCTGTAGGTATACGAAAAAGCAAGATGAGCCTGTAATAAGCCTATTTAGTAATTTATTTAGGCATTTTTTTGGTCATCCAAAAAAAGGGTCAAATGTCAGGCTTTGTCTTCTTTTGAAATGTCTTTGTGTTCAGAATGCAAGTGCTCCCTTGTCTGGTCCTGTATTCTTTATCTTCATGGTTTGGCTCTCAAGAGGCATATTTAAATTGTCATAAATGTAGGAAAACCTTTCAGGGAAAAACACTCAGAGACCTTGTTTATTTAAGTTTTAAAAATATTATTTATCATGCCCTGTAAAATATCATGTATCAACCCTCTGGGGACAGGGCAGCCTTTTCAAATCAGTCATAAGCTGAAACTTTATACAAGATGCAAATTAGGAGCTTGATTAAATGAAAACTAGTGTTCAGGCGGTGTCTGGTGAAGTTTCTGTAGGCACAGCAGCAATTAATGTGGGGCCAGCTAAGCAAATCTGTTGTGAACACGTTTCGCTTTTTGCAATACATACACATAAAGCATGAAATTTGGGCCCAGGTGGATGTGCCAGTCTGTTGAGATTACCTGATCCAGGAGATGCTTTAAATTATGGAAACCACAAGAGATCAATACTACTCCAAACGTCTCTGGCACACTGAATAGAATTAAAAAATAAAATAAAATATATGTTTTCAAGGTTTCAACAACACCCAATTCCCATCTGAAAAAGGAACCCATTTAAGCTCTTGATTAACCAGAACCAACATGGGAGAGGTGGCCTCTGATCTCCATGTTTAAATTTCAGTCTTGGAACAGACTGAAGAGGCCGGATTTGAAGTCTGGATTTTGTTTCACTTGCAGTGGAAGGGAAGAGCTGCCAAGCTCAGGCACCACCAGTGCTTTGTGGAAGCCGACATATGAATTTGTTCTACAAATGTGCCAGGGACACCCTGATCCAACAGTCAGATCAATTCCAGAAGACACAGAGTTACATCTCCGAGCTGACTTCCAGCTCTTATTACCACCCATTAAGAGAAAAATTTCTGCATAAAGCAAACCAGGTGATTAATTACAGCACTGAGTGGTATCCCCTGGAAAAAACTCCTACCTTCAAATACATAAAAAAATAAATAAAAATAAGCTAAAATATCCCAATACTTCAAACAAAGGAGGTCTCACTCCTCTCATGGGCTTTGGGGGCTTGAGGTTGCAGGTGGGTTTGGGGGTTTTGTGCTTGACTAAGGCGGGACAGAAGTAACTGAGATGAGTTTTGGTTGCAGGAAAGAAGAGAAGGAATGTCTGTGGGAAGGATGGAAAGGACAACAGGAGGAAAGAGGTAAGTGACTGCATTAACTTCATCTGAGAATAGGTAAGGCAGAAAATCTCTTCAGCATTGTGGTGGGAAGACTTCTAAATGCAGATTTATTGTATGAAAGCACAGTTTTAGCCCTTTTTTTTCTCTTTCTGTATTTTTTAAAAAGGATTAATTATTGTGTGTCATGACACACAGTTCCTTTTCTGCACTTCTATTAAGGAGCACTAACTTTAAGGTCTGTTGTCTTAAGTATCTTTCTATTCCTGTATCTAACTTGCTGATAGCAGAACATGTTGTTGGTAAAAGAGGTCCCAAGGGAAAACACCATAAAAAAGGAAATATATCAATAAGGAAATACTAGTAACTGTGATGTGATATCATTTATGCTTTATTTCTGAATGGATCAGAGGAAGCTTGCCTGTCAAAAGGAAAAGGATACGAGAAATGAACACTGCCAGAAAATATTACATTAAAAAAGCTTCTCTGGGATGAATACAGCGGAGTAAAAGTGTTCCTACAAAAGAAAAAAAAAAAGATGAATTATGTGTTGATTTTAAGTACAGTGTGAGAATGAAGGAAATATGAGCTGTAGAGAGATACAAAGAGGAATGGTGTGATGGGTTCAGGCTGGGGTGGTGTTTCACACAGCAACAGTTGGGGAGGAGAGGTGGAGGGAAAAAATGCAGATCTGCTGTATCCCGAGCCATCAACCACGGGGGAAAGTTTTCCCACAGTGCCACTCATTTACTGTCCTGTGAGGAACTGAATGAAAATTATCCTTTAGACAGAAAGGGGTAACACTCTTGTCCTCATTCTTCTTCATCAACCCCTTCCTTTTCCCGGTAAATCTCCAATTTCTTTTGTACCTGAAGGTAATGCAAAAAGAAGGGACAAACCCTATTGGCCTTCTGGAGCCCAAAGACTTTTAGATCCCTTTTACAATGAAATAAACCCACATAACATTAGATGTTTCTTATTCATCCAAACTCTACTTAGTTCAGGGTAGTGCCTAACAACTGTTAGTGGCATTATTTCTCCTATCATGGATTTATCCTCTCAGTGGAACTGAAAACTCTCAGCATCCTGTTCCACAAGTGCCAGTACTTAAAGGAAAGAAAACCCTTTTAGTTTTTGTGGAATCACAGAATGGTTTGGGTGGGAAGGGACCTTTAAAGGCCATCTAGTCCAACCCCCAAATCCCAGATTACTCCAAGCCCCATCCTTGGACACTTGCAGTGATGGGGCAGCCACAGCTTCTCTGGGCAACCTGTGCCACGGCCTGCCCACCCTCTCAGCCAAGAATTGTTTCCTAATCTCTAATCCAACCCTGCCTTTGTCCTGTCACTACAGAACCTTTTCCAAAGTCCTTCCAGTAGGCATGGACAAGGAATGGTTGTCAGCTGTGCCACTACTGGGAGCTGGGGGAGCTCAGGGGACAAGGTAACCATCTCCTTCCCAGCCTGTCTCTTCAAAGGCAACAAAAAGCAGCAGAAGCAGCAGAGAGGATGAACAATTTTTTCTTTCATGTAAATTTGTCCTCTCTCTTTTTTTTTTTCTTTTTTTTTTTTTCCTAATTCTTTTTCCCTTTCTTTTGCAGTTGCAAATGTTTTGAGAACCCATCATTTTCCCAGGTTGATGGGAAGACCCTGGTGACCCAGCTGTGAGTCACGATTCCCAGCTGGGTGGCTCTGAAGAGAGACAAGAAGCTCGGATGTGTCCCTGATCCCCCACCAGCACAGGCCAGGAACATCTGTCTGCTCCTTCCCTTCCTTCAGACAGTCCCTAGGAGGAGGCAGGCAGGCAAGTAGGAATATGAAAGGCAAGGGATCAACTGGCCGTGTTGAATTAGCCAACTTAAATAATTCTTCTTGGCTGTGGAAACAGTCTTCCCATCCAAAACTCTGCTTTTTTTTTTTTTTTTTTTTCCCTTCTCTTTCCTTTTTATTTTTTCCCAAACAGGAACAATTTATTTCCACTTTTGGGCAGGTTTCTTGGCCAAAGGGTGAGCTCTCCCCGTTGCCTCTTCCCGGTGCCCCCCAGGTGACCTTACAGAGTGCCTCAGGGACCCAACTTCAGTGAATAGCAAAATCAAAGTATGCAAATGGAGCTGAGATTATTACATATATAATCATGAAAACATTTTTTCCTGCACTATTGCCTGTGCCCAGCTTCCTGCCCTACTGCTCTGAGTGCCTCTGTGCTGTCTATAGCTGTTGAGCTGAAGCACCCGAGGATGGCTCTGAAGCAGGAAGAGAGTTTTCAAACTGCAGGATGGTTTCCCAGACACTTTCTTTCTCATTCTCCACAAGATAGTTGCTGTTCCTCCGGATTTCACTGTTATTATTTGGATGTCTCTACTTCAGAGCAAAGGGGGGGGGGATGAATGGCTCGTTGAGCCTCTTCAGTCCACTCTAGTTCTATTTTAGTTTGAGCAGCCTGTGCTACTCTGAGAGATGGGAGCAGTTCATGCCAATAACTCAATCTTTCTGCAAAGTTCAGCATCTCAGGCTGAAAAAAAAAACCCCACAAACAAAAACAAACAAAACAGAAAATAAAATTACAAAGTGCAACGAGCTGAGTCCTGCAGTCAGGTCTAGGTGATTGGAAGTTTACATCTTGAGTCATAGAATCCTAGAATCCTGGAATGATTTGGGTTGGAAGACCCAAAAAACCATCTAGTTCCACCCCCTGCTCTGGGCAAGGACGTCTTCCACTAGATCAGGTTGCTCTAAGCTCCATCCTTACCCTAATTTGGCTTTTCCTGGCTTCCTTCCTTCAAAGTAGAAGTGATGAAATTCATTTGGGCATTTTAGTGAATGAAAGGATGCATAATGAGTCAGGAAATCCTACCCACCTTAGCAGTTTAACAGATGTTTGAAGTCTCAAGCCTGAACTCTCTGTACAGCCAGTGAGGAAAAGTATGGGATGCTGATGACAGATGTGGAGGAACACTTATCTGAAAACATTTATTTTTATTCTGATATAAACCTCAGTTTTATTTCTTTAGTTTTTAATGCTATGTGCAGTATTTTAAGGCATATGTTAATAGCAAAAACATGAACTCTATCATTAAAAACCAAACCAGTATTTTCCATAAAAACTTCCCATTTTAAATCTGTAAAGAAAAACAAACAAACAAACAAACAACTCAGCTTTTGAGATTAATTTAGTTTTGCACCATTTTTGTATGGTTTTGCACAAGTGTGTTTTTATACAGCCTCAAGGAATGATCAGTCTGCACTGCAAGTCTTTTGTATCAGCCCATACAAGAGCACTCCCTGTGCTGTTCCATTGTGGAGCAAAGTGGAAGCATTCCCTGGGCTGTGGAGCAAGTGGAGAGGAAGTGTCATCCACAATATCTGAACAATGAACAGAGCACCTCGCCACAAAGTCAATTATCCTTTCAAAGCAGCCATCCTGCATCCTCAGGACCAGATGTTGGCATTGTGAGATTGTGATTCTAATCTAAAGGGAAGGTTGGATTTTTTTTTTTTTTTTTAATGTTGGCTTTCTGAGGATTAAGTTGGATATTTTCAATATAGTTGAAAGAAGAGAGTTACAAACCCCCAAACCCAAATGTTCTTGTTTGTTTCAAACTCAATCATTGCCTTCTGGACAAGGCATGAAATGGAAAGCCCACTGTGAATCTCAGAATATTTGATTTCAGGTAAATTGCCACATCAGCTGATCTTTGAAAAAACACACATGTATCCAAAAATGTACATCCACCACTTTGGATGGGGCTTGGAGCAACCTGATCTAGTGGAAGGTGCCCCTGCCCATGGCAGGGGGGTTGGTACTAGATGAGCTTTAAGGTCCCTTCTATCCCAAACCATTCTAGGATTCCATGATCTTTTCACCTGTGTCAGCCATGAAGCCTATTATCTATTTTTTCTCGATAAAGACAAATTAATAACTAAATAATCAAGTTTGATAAGTAAAATCAACTAAGGTGGCTGTGGTCTAGAAAATGCAGCATAGATTCTTTTGTATCTCCTTCACCACATGTTTAAATCTGATTCTGGTCTCTAATGACCAAAACTCTTTCTGACTCCTCTCTGATCTGCGCAGATTGAATAGTGACTCTCAACTTCATTCCTATCTGGTACCTCATCCCCAGTGCCAAAACAAACCCTTTTCCTCTGTGTTTTCCTCTTAACAATACTGGGACAGAGGCCAAGGACTGACAACCTGTCTCTTAGCCCTCAAACCTTCTGTTCCAGTGGGTCAGAAGAAAAATTACTGAGGAAACTTTTGCTGTTGTTCAGTCGTTTAGCTGTGTGGGAAAACAGACTGCCAAGCTGGCATCCTGGGATCCCTAATTCCCTGTGTAAACACGGGCAGGAAGGGAAGACAGAAAGAACTTTAGGATAATTATTATCATGGAATCACAGAATGGTTTGAGTTGGAAGGGACCTTAAAGCCCATCTCATGCCACCCCCTGCCATGGGCAGGGACACCTTCCACTATCCCAGGTTGCTCCAAGCCCTGTCCAGCCTGGCCTTGGACACTTCCAGATGTTCACTCAATCTAATGTTTTATAACTGTATCAGCCACTGTGCTCATTCAGCAACGTTCCTTATTTATCCAGTTGGACATACTAAATTACTTTTATCGTAATGCTTGAGAAATCATTGTCTTACCTCTCTTAGGACATGCTGGAGGGTTTATTCTCCCCTTGCTATCTGAGTAGTTACACTCATAAATCCTCATGCATTGAGAGCAGAACAGTCTTTATATGCCCAGAAATTTCTAAGCTATTATCCCCAAATCCTAATTAACCATTATTAAAAATAATGTGTTCCTTTTAGAGCCTGAGATATAGCAACATGATAAGATACGATGTGAAAAATCCCAAATATCACATAGTGCAATTCTGCTGCTTTACTTTTCCTCTTTTATTAGAGGTTCCTAACGTAACACTTGCATTTTCATTCAAAGTGGCAGGATTCAATAGTATATAGTTTGCAAACTGCCAAAACAGAGTCACTGGATTTAGTTTTCTAATAATCAAACAATTGTACAACATGCCTGTGCATGTCAGAAACCGGAGAAAGCAAATTTATACACAACACCGTGTATTTTGTGGATAGCGATAACCCACCCAAATCTAATTTAATCAAATATTTAAAGAGGTAATAATTAATTTTTAAAGAATTGAAGTGAACCGTAACTGGGAAGAAATGTTATTGTTTATTTTTAATGCCAGAACAGTATTCCTGATGCATTTTTAATATTTCATTAAGGCAGGAACTTTCATACTATATTTTTTCAAGTTTTTATATCTCATTGAGCCTTTTTTTTTTCCCTGAACAAAGGTGAAATATTGTAGGCAATCTTAAGGCTTGAACTGATACATTCTTTGAGGATCTTTTGTCATAACTAATTAAACACAACCAGAAGTATCTTTAAACAAGCTAAGACACAACACCTGGTTGGGAGCCAGGCAAGTGCTTCTTTTTTTTAGCTTGTGTCTGAGTCCTTCCCATGAGATATTGCTTCCAACCTTCTCTTTTGAGCTATCATTCATGATGCTTACCTTTCAGGAGAGTTATTTGTAAGGTTTTAAAGCCCACCACTCCCTGTGCCTTTCAAAGCCGTGGACTGCTCTGTCTTGCTCTTTTGTTTTGGGTTGGTTTGTTTGGTTTTGTATTTGTGTTTTTTTTTTTGATGAAGTGTCTCTCACATTTTGAGCCTTTTATACCCAGGTCTGTGGAAGGCTGTTTATTGCACTCTGGCTCCAGCCCTAGTTAAAGGTGTGAACTACCAAAGTGGAAGGGGGCACATGCACATTAACACCGCTGTGGAAAACATCGCTTGACAGATGGGTGCATGTTAAATGGATGTTTGAAGAAAGGTGTTTGCAGTAAAAATCTTGAGTATGGCATCAGAGGGAGACCACACACAATTTTCCAGCTTTATGTCTGTAATATAGAAGGGTCAAGCTTGTTATAGTGCCCTGTCTCAGGCTTTGCTCTGTTGCTCTCAACAGCTTCGATAGGAATGGGAAGGATCAGAGTTCAAATGCCACATAAATAGGTATATTTTAATTCAGACACACACTTTTACATTTGATATGGCATAGTAATATCTCCAAGAAGAGCAGTGGAGCTGGGGAAGGGTCTGGAGCACCAGGAGCCTGGAGAAAAGGAGGCTCAGGGGGGACCTTCTTGCTCTCTGCAACTCCCTGAGAGAAGGAGGGAGCCACATGGAGGTCAGGCTCTTCCTCTGAGTGTGAGGCAACAGGACAAGAGGAAATGAACCCAAGTTGCATAAGGGGAGGTTTATATTGGATATTAGGGAAAATTTCTTCACAGAAAGGGTTTCCCAGCCCCGGCAGAGGCTGCCCAGGGCAGTGGTGGAGTCACCATCCCTGTGGATGTGACAGCAAGGATGTGGTCTAGTGGTGGGCTTGTTGGACTTGGTGATCTTGAGGGTCTTTTCAGCCTAACTGATTCAATGAAATATTAATAGTATTGCCTTTATTTTAAAGACAACTATTTCCAAGGGCCTACTCAGGGGCTTGAGGATCTGAGAACCTGTGGTATAAATTGTCAGTTCATTCAGTGAATGGGTAAGAAAATGGTCCAAAGGTGAGTTTCTTTAGTTTCACTCAGTAGTTCTTGACCTGTGAAGGATAAAGGAGATTTTCTTAACATCACCCACTTGCAGAACTGGGAATTTGATGTGCAGATCTTCCCTTGCTTGTGAAAATCTGCCTCTGAATAGCTCTAAGAGCAGAACTGTTGAAATCCTGGTTGAGAATATATATCCAGGATTAGGTATAGTCATGTTCAATGTAAATAGTAATGTGGGATTTCCTTGACACTCTTCTGGTTGGAAACTTGATTATAAAAACACTTTCTTCTTTCTTTCCCCCTCTCCCCCCCTTTTTTTTTCTGCCAATGTATTGCTATAAAACACTTGGTACCTGAAGATTTTTTTTTTCCCCATTATTGAACCTCTCCTATTGTGCAAAAAACTTGAGTGGGTGCATGGTATGAAAGAGGACCTTTAGGCAAGAAGATCTCTCCTTGCCTGGTACTAAGATGATGGAGCTTTTTGCTGTTCCCTGGACACAAAGCAAGACTTTCCAAGCAGAGCACTGTATTGTCTGTATTTTTGCTCTTTTCCCAAAATATTTTTGGCTAAACCAAAGGGAAAATTTTCACCTTCTACCTCACTTGAACTGGTTTTTTTTTCTTTACGTACAGATCTCTTATTTTTTTTTTAACTGAGTTCATAACTCTTATTTCTATTTGCTCCTTTACCTTTTCAAATATCCAGTCCAGGAATTCTTCCACCTGAGATTACCAAGAAAAAAAAAAAAACACACAAATAACAGCTATGCACGCACAGTTTACAACTTGTAGATTTTAATTTGTTTACATAAATTTTCAAATATGAAAGGCTATGTGAGAAGACTTCAGGCAGAGAACACCCCCCAGTTGTCAGGGAATTTTTATGCTCTAACAAGTTTGCTCAGCTCTATGGAGGCCTCCTTACAAACGGTTCTTTTGCTGTGACAATAGGTTGTTTAAAGAGTCTTAAAACATCCTGGCTTGGTGGAAAAGAGGGCAAACTCTTCCTTCAAAACATTTGACTCGGAAAGGAGCATTCAAAGCCACACAACTGGGGTATGAACGCTCACACCCACTGTACCAGTGGTTCAAAAATCCTGTCTTCTCCCCCAGGCCCAGCTCCAGCAAGCACTTACACACATGCTTAACTTTATGCACACGAGTAATCCCATTGATTTAATGGGATTATTCCCATATGTGCAGTTACACACACATAAGTGTTTGCAGGATTGGGGGACTTACTTCTCTCGCAGTGATCTGAAACCTATGGCAGAAAATGCTGCATGCAAAGTGAGGTACTGCTTAATGGCCAAACATTAAACCTGAATTTTTCTGCTGAAATCGATGGGGCTGTGCCAGTTTGTACTGGCTGAGAAACTGTCCTTTTCTCTGTATAATTTGCACTTTCTAGATGCAACATATTTGTGGCTATCACAGCACAGAAAGGGGAATGGAGAGATAATTAGTAGCAAAAATATCAAGAGAAGAATTTTTCCATGCTTAGAGGTTGCTGTATTCCAAATCTTGATTTATAACTTGAATTTCATTTAGAAAATGCTCAGCTATGCACAAGATATTCTCCTCTATAACGTGGTGACTTGTAGCTGTTTCAGCTCTGATGAAAAAGTTTACCTTTTCAATGTTTAAATATTGAAATCTATATGTACACAGATGTATAGGAGAAAAGTATTTCCTAGCAAAACTATATATAAATATGGATGCTCACATGCTTGGAAACTTGCATATACAGGATGAGCATTACAAAAAAACCACCCTCCAACCAAGTTTGTTAAAAATAACTGAACTTACAGTTGCCCCTGACTTGGAGAGTTTACTTTTAATTTGAAATTCTGCAGCCAAGATATTTTTTAAAAATTTAAGGCAAGTAACCATCTGCCATAAATGATAGAAATGGAGTATAAATAAAATAGTACTTGTAGTATTCCAGTGGAAATCACATGCCAAACACATCCACAGTCTCAGCAGCAGGAACACTTTCAGATGTCAGGAACAAAAGCAGAGGAAGGAGCTGGCTTGGCCAGGACGTGTTTTGCTGCGCATGGTGTATCTTCTTGGCTGTCCTGAAAAACCACATTATTAAGCAATTTGGGCTGGAGCATCATTTGTGCCCCATGAAGAATTTAGGGAAGATCTTGACTTGAGCGTGTTGCAAGAGGAGTCCTGCTGTGCCATTTGGTATAAAACTCTAATCAGTCTCATGCCACTGGCACATTTGAGCACCTAGTGGGACACGCCGGGCATCCACGTTCAAGGCTTTATATAAGGTAACAGCTGCTTTGGTCAGGCAGTTAATTAAATGTGTTAATTTTCCATACAGCCAGCAGTAGTGACAACAGATCAGAGTGGGATTTTATGACATTTCAGGGTTCCCTTATGTGATCGCAGCGATGGATCGCGCCCACATCATCCTTCACATCCCTGCACTGAATGATGCTGCCTTCCCCCTTTGGAAATGGCTCCAGTCTTTGACTCCATGAATATTAGAGCAATGGTAATGCTTTGGTACCACTTACTCCATATTGCCAGTTGTCCCAACTCCAGCCTTGCAAAGCTGTTTGGGCTTATTCCCACACTGATATTGGTTTAGTCAGAGACGCAGCAATTCATTTACGAGGCAAAAGTGCTTCTTATTTTCTCCTCTCTATCTTACTTTCCTTATTAGAAATGTTTAATGAGCAGATATATAGGCTGGAAATAAAGCAGTGTGATATTTCTGAACAGATAGCATGTTCTTCAGATGTAGAATTACAGAAAATTATCTCCTTGTTCTTGATAGTTTGGCTTGTACAACATTGCAGGATGACAAATTCAACCTTCTCTGTACCTTATTACTTTCATAACATGATAATAACTCAAATGCACCCAGAAAGAGAAGGTAAATGGGGACGATTCGTGAAAAGGACTAGAAGAACATATTTAGAAGTAATAGTCTGACAAATATGCAGCCTGAATAATATAAATGAACTGAACAAGTTTCCTCCCCACCAAATGGATAATACAGTGTGAAGAAAAGTGGAAGAAATGTAAAATGCCAAGTTAGGCATGTAAGGCCTGACCAAAAATGAGTCACACTCCCACGCTTTTGGCTCCCAATTCGAAGTGTTTGTTTTTTAGTTGATTGGGTAGCCACTAAAACTATATGGTAAGCTTTGTTTGGATTTGATCTGTCACTTTTTTTTTGATGGGTGGCAATGATTTTATGACATATGTCACGTTGTGTCACATCACTCAGAACACATCAAGTCACGCTCTATCCCATCACTTCTGAAGGCAATAATGCCACTCAACGTGACGTGACGTGACGAGATGTAACGCAACCCAACGGCTGAGAAAATAGAGGCAAAGTTTGGTAGGTGTGACATGGAACCCCAGGAATTACATCCCCAGGGAACGTTAGGAAGATCCCAGGAGTCTGAAGTTTTCACAGTGGGTCAGTTGAGTGACTTGTGTCTTCACAAAGGTGGGCTCTGAGTTACTCGGCGTAGAGAGGCAGTGAGTAGTTACTGTAATCGTGGTGCGAGTCTGTCGTTAGGCTTGGTGATAAAAGGGAGTTCTTCAAGGAAAACTTGATGGAAAGATGAGTCTCATGCCTGAAATGTGACAAGCCTGGAACTGTCTCTGACCTGACAGGCTGCGTGTCTGCAAGTGTTTTAGAGCATTTAAAATTTCTGAGACCTCAGGGAATGTCCTAAGCATAAACATTGCCAGAAGCCAGGATATAGCTGGATGTATTCTTCTAACATATTTTAAATACAAATGGCTACAATCTTTACGAGCTCTGCTCTTTTTTTTCCCTAACAATTATCTCCTTTCCTGTGTTTTGACTATCAGGAGTAGTGTTTGTATTGTATATGGTGATAATCTGTTCTTATTGACTGCAGTGAACTGCCCATGTGCACCCACGAAGGACCTTCAGCTCCATCAGCAGCAGGAATTTCCATTTGAACACAACACTTAAGCACAAAATATGAAGTTCCCTCATCAGCTGAAGCTTTCACCGGAGGATCCCAAATTCCTTTGCTGACAGGATTGCATCAGAAATGTTTTTAGGTAGGTGAAACTTCTTTAGCCATGTGCATAACCAAATATCATGTGTTTGCTAATGTTATCCGCTTCCATAGCTACACTTGGCTCATCAGTCTAAGGTCCTTTACAATCCAAACCATTCTGAGATTCTCTGACTCACAGTATTGAAATCTTTCCTGACCTGTCTGACTGACATCACCGACCTGAACTTGTCTTCCATTTCCTAAGACAGTTCCTGAGAATGTACTCAATGGCTCATTTCTCCTTTCCTGAAGCTGAGCCTTTTTTAAACCTTTAAAACACTTGCTGGGAGATTTATCCCAGTGAATGTTACACAGCTTCAGTAGAAGAAGCTGTGACAGAGTACTCCCAAGCACAAGTTGGGGTAATTAAGTCTCTCCTGAATGTGGGAAGGGCATAAGGAAGCCCATGGAGTTCAGCCACCAGCTTTTAGGTGTCCTAACCACTGGATGTTGTAAATGAAGCCACCAAGATGCTACTTTTACATCTTACATTACAGTGATTCCTGATACAATGTCCAAATGACTGCTGGTGGCTCTGAAGCCAAACAGAAAGATGGACTTGGTTTTCTGGCCTTATGCACCACTCTCTTTTTATAATTTCCTTCTTGTGTATCCTTTCCTACTCCTCAGGTCTGATTTTCCCTGTTAATTACCTTGGCAGACACCCCTGTTGTATGGAATTTCCATTATGCTCTAGGGCAGATAAGAACTGAGCTGAGTAACACCCACCCCCTTTTCTCGGTGACATTTTCCCATCAGAAAAAAAAAAAAAGAAAGGAAAAAAAAAAGCAAAAAAACCCACAAAAAACCAAACCAAACCCCCAAAAAAACCCTGCAGTTCTCTACCTTTCTCTTCAAAATGTTGTTAAGTAATTTACTGACTGAACATCCTGAGATTCTTCCACCTTCCCTGCGCACACCGACAAGAAACTCATGTAAATTCTCACTTTATTGCCACACCTGTTAGAAATCACTGCTGCAACTTAGGTGTGAAAAAATGTGGCTGCACTATACCCAGTAAGAAATGCAGACCAGGCTCGGTGTAAGTGCATCCCCACTGCTATAAAACAGACACAACTACTTTGGTGACATTCACTGTTACTGTACGTTGACAAGTTCCCATTTAATTTACTACATATGGTTCCACGTCTCCATAGCTACTCTCGTGAATTCATTATTCATTAAATAAGTGATGAATTTACTTAAATATTGCGGCCACATGGCCGACACAAATGCATTCTAATATTATTAACACGTTGCCAACTTGCAACTCTTCGAAGTCTGAGTAAATGTTTTGACAAGAAGAGGCAGCAAGAACAAATAAGTAGTAGCAGCCTAGATGAAGTTCAGCCATAGTTCTAACAGCTTTAAAGTCTTAACAGTGTTTTCACTGGGGCAGTACCAGATAAATTGCTCTTATGTGTGCATACAAGAGACTAAAATTCCTTTGAAAGTTTATAATTTCTCATGGGAAAACACAACATAAAAGTTACTTTTACTCATAGAAAAACAACACCATATTTTCCTGTCAACCTTTGCTGTTGGGAATTTCAAACTTTTTGCATTTTTTCCCTGTGATTCTTTGTCGGCCCAAGGGACAGGCGTTTACAACATAATTTACTTTCGGCGTGTCTCTGTAAATCATTGTAATACTTTCTATGGCTAGCAGGGAAGAAAAAAAAAAAGAAAAAGCAGCACTCTCCAGTTGGACTGACAAACCAGTTTTCCAAGACTTCAACAGCAAAGCAAAACCCCTATTTGAGGAGAGCAGCACCGACACGGAGAGACACACAAAAGAAATTTATTTTATGAGGGCTTTATATGAAATTTTGCATTTAGAGGGTGTAATATTTATTGGGAAATATTTATTGAACTATGTTTACTTGCAGTAAAATGTACAGAATGTGTGGAGCAAAAAACATGTATTGGTGGCAGAATTCTGGGTGTAAAAAGAAAATCACTGGTATTTCACTTTTGCAGAAGGTAGGATTTTTTTCCTTACCATTCCTAAGCCCTGTTGTTGTCACTGTTGTTGTCCAGGCTTAAGAGTGTTGTCTCAGGTTAGGTGCTCTAACACAGCCTGCCACAAAAAAGCTGGAAACCTGTAGAGCCTTTCAACCTCACTTTTTGAGACTGCTGCTAATATCAAGGCTCATTCAGTTTTACATTAGAACTTGATGACTTGCACATTGGTTGAACCTTCACCTTTTACAACCTTAATGGGGATTTATTAGCTATTTCACAGTGTGTAAATTTGAATCTAGGTCAGATGAGGAAGAAAAATAGGGCAAATCTGGGCCTTAAGTATAACCTGCATATAATATATCAGGATAAAAAAAAAAGGTGCAAAATTAAACAGATGATTAAAAGTGTCTAGAGCAGTCAGAGTTTGAAAAAAGAGCTTGATAAATTAGGGGTGTATGTAGGGGTTTTTTTTTCGAGTTCAAACTCAGGTGACTGGTGAAAGTCTGGTTTCCACACAAATTCAGCAGATTAAGGAGTTAAAATAGCTTGTTAACCTGTTTCTGCTAACTGCTGCAAGAGGAAATGTAACCCAGGTGTGTTTGATATTCACAAGATTAAAGCTTTTGTCTACCATCAAATGTTCACCACATTAAAGTCGTTTTAATGAGGTATTGGAAGATAATGAATGTAAGCCTCTAATTCACCGCAGAGGAGACAGCCTGCCCCTGCTCTGACCCCGCTGCAGCCAGGTATCTAAACCAACAGATTAGTCACACTTAGACCAAAGGATGTGTGTGTAATGGAATAGCCACTACCTGCTGCCATCCTCATCTGCCAAGAATGGATCTGGTTCAGGTGCCTCTGCTTTTCTGACATCAGATATTTCCCATGTGGTGGTGCCCATCCCTCCCCAACTCTTTCCGGAAGGAAAAGGACACAGCTGGTGTGAGAAGGAAGGATTGGTATAGTGGGCGTGTAGGAGGAATGGGTAGGCAAAAAATGGGTATAAATTAATATTATTAATGTTAATTAATGTTATCCTGGTACTTAGTGATGTTCAGAGAGTCAATAGCTGGAGTCAGGAAAGGTTGGAAAGGTCTTTGTGGTTCATCTATCTCCATACTTGCTGTTTGCTGGATCCACCCCCCTGCTAAGCTAAGGTACGCTTAGCCTGTTTGCTTATCCTTAATAGAATAAGCTCCAAATAAAAATAAAATAAAGATCCTGAAAGGTTCTCCAAACCAGATTTATTTTGGCATGCATATGCAGGAAACTATGTACTGTAGCAAGTTTTAAATACTGTATTTGGACACTAATTCTCAACTGCCGTCATCAGTTTGCTGACAGCCATCTGCTTGGACCCTGCTCCTTCCTCCCGTTCAGCACCGTTAAAGTAAAATATTGACAGAAACAACTTCTGCAGCAAAAGTGGAAAAGTTAATAACATAACTGAAGTCACACAGGATTTTTCTCTAATGTTCTGGAGCTCTGCTACAATTTTGTTTTACTCATGCCTTAATTTAGAAGTGTCCCACCCGGCTTAAAAATAGGAGGTTGTGTAGCCAGCTATCTTTAGATGGCACAGGTTACTGAGGAGAGATCTATAGCTGTAAGTTCCTACTGTATAGTTCGTGTGACTTCATCCTAATGAGTAATGAACGTGCTCCTGGAGAAGCTGACACACCGGGCGCTGTGTTGTCAGTCACAGAGCTGGGGAAAAAAAAGTCATCACAGTGAGGTTGTGGCTGCCGAAATCTGCAGCAACACGAGCAGATAGAATAGATTGATAGAATTCAAATGTACCTGCAGGAGCATTTTGAGCAGTGATGTTCACAGCCCCTTACATCATACTCGTTGCATACTGCTGGCTCAGAGCTCTGAAGGGTGCCTGGACACTTCCAGAAGGACCCTCAACCTCCTTGGGCTGAGATTTTTTTTGTTCAGTACATGGCTTGTGATGTTCCCCACCTTAATGAGTCTGAGATGCTCCAGTTCAGCACAGAGCAAGCTCTACCTTCAGCTCTTTGTGTGAAATGTCATTAAAGCTCTTGCACAGGTCATAGGGCAATGCACAATAAGAGAGTTTGCCACTAATTATTTCAAAAAGAGGAGTGAACATGAGCTCATGTACACACACACACACAGATATACATTCACATAAATAATTTATTTATCATACCTATTTATAATACATGAATCTTTTATGTTTTATAGTGATACCATTGCAGCTTGCAGATTTACATCTCTTATTAAATTCCCCACACAACAAAACACAACACCATGGAAATATATAGCCCTACAAACTGATTCAAGACTTCTAATCCAAGTGGTCTTACTGTCTGCAATATTCCTTTCTAAATTGTGCCATTACATCCCACAAATCGACTTGCAATGAAAGGTAATTTCTTTTTATTCTCTTACAGCTCTTCGTGGGAGAAAGGCAGAAAGAATCTGTCCCATAAAGAACAACACAACAGTTTCCAAGCTGAACTCTCTAACATATACAACCATTTCTGCTTTTGCAGATACAGACCCATCAGCCCTGTGAGAAGATGAGTGAGTTTACTATGTTGGAGAGATCAACAGTAGATTTAGTGGAGAAAGTAAAGCCTTTGGGCAGATGAAAAAAAGTCTAAAAAATCTAGTTTCCAAGCAGAAAACTTGACTAGTGATGCAGAGAGCGTGGCAGGAGCTAAAAACTGGTTTTGTGCAGAGACAATGCCTCAGTGTCAAACACAACACATGAAAATAGGAACACTACATATTTTTGAGAGATGGTTTCAATATTTGATCTGGTTTTTATTGCCATAGAACAGAAATAAATCATTTTGTTCTGTAGCCCTGAGGGAGTGCACTGAGTCCTGCTTCTTGCCTCATGCACAGCCCTACAGGTCAGGGTGTGGGTGAGGGAGGTGAGCACTGAGCACCCTCCACAGTGGGCAGACTGCTGAGAGGCTTCCTCTCCATTCCTGTTTACAGTTTCTTCCCTCACTTTGGGATAACCTCCCCAGATATTGTTTAAAGCCCTCCATGACAGTCCTCCAACTGCCTTTATAGGCCATGCAGCTGTTTGTCCCCACATCTCAGGTGCTGAACCATAGTGAGAAGTCCCCACCCTGCGCTACCTCAGGCCCAAACTTAAATCATTTTCTTCCTTAACTAGGTCTTAGGCTGAAAGGTGAGGGTTCACAGAGAAAACAGCTGTGATTTCAAACAGCCTGCCACACGTGTGGTGAGAATGGCTTACCAGCCTCACCAGTCTACCTTGCAGGTTCTCTTTTATGGTCTGTAGCTCGAGGTCCTGAGGCATCCTCAGAAAGCCACAGGCAGAAACCACACAAAGAGATTAAAGATGTGATAGGGAGAGGCAGGAGGAAACGCTCCTGCTCATTTTCTAGTGTGTGTTCTTCTGAAGATACACCCAGAAGGACCTCCATGAGTTTCCAGAAGGACCTTTAGAAGTTTCTGTCTGTTTTCCAAAGGAAAAAAAAAACAAACCACACACCAACAAACCTAAAGCTTGGAAAAACACTCAACAAAACCAAGCATGACAGAAAGACTATGCAAAGATGATGTTGTTCTACCCAGCCTTTTTTCCTACTCTTCATCTAGAGGGAGAACTGCAAAAGGCCTAACAGAGCTTTGCTGCTTCTTTGAACATTGGTGGAAGGTTGTGATATTTTCTCAAGGCTTTCCCAATTAACATCCCTGTAAAACGTTGTAACATTTAGCTCCACATGTTGAAGAAGGTTCTCTCTTCTCTAGCTGCCATTCTCAGTAGCTCTGCCTGCTTCAGTGCAGCTCCATGTGACTATGGAGCCAGGAGGTGACTTTTTTTTCCAAAGTTCAGCCACTTGGAACGTTTAGACATTTTAGACCCATTTAGAACAGGGAGATATTTTAGAATTTTTGAGATTTTTGAGACAATTTGGACAATTTGAAGATGGCATTTGTTGGTTTGAATGAAACACTCTATTTTAACTCTCAAAAAATGTATAACCAGGACTGGAGTGATCAAAATTCATGAGTGATGAATGACACATTGCAAATTATTTTGCTTTTGCCACGTCTCTCATGCAAATGATGAACTACAAGGTTCTCTAATACTTGACATGAGAAAGCATTTAATAAAGTGTTAATAACACACACAAAAAAGCTTTGTTATAACACACAAATGCCTGATTAAAGTGTTTAAAACACACAAACAAACTTTCAGAATTGGGTTAGAAACCAGATTTAAGTACTGCAGGTAAATAATACAGTAAAGAGATGAAATATCAAGTGAATATCAAATGGGAGTTGTCAAGGCCAAGTTGGACAGGGCTTGGAGCAACCTGGTCTAGTGGAAGGTGTCCCTACCCATGGCAGGGGGTTGGAACAAGGTGGTCCTAAAGGGCTCTCCCAACCCAAACCATTCTCTGGTTCTGTGATTCCCTCATATATTTTGCATAATAAAGGAAAAAAAAATCTGTCAAGCATCTTATAGACCAATCAGAACATGAAAGACCTTGTTGCCTGTTGTGATGTGGTGACATCAGAGAGATTTGGACACTTTTCCATTGTTAAGAGCTGGTCAGTAGAGGAACAGAGCACGAATCTCCCAGTGCTCCCACAACTGGCTCAGTGTCCATCAGAGCTGCTCCCATGAGGCAAAAAGCATCTCCCAACACCTGACTGTGACCAGCACCTGGTGGGGGAATTCCTTGCTGTAAATCTCTGGCCATGAGTCCAATCAAAAAGCTGGAAAAGAAGAGGAAAATCTCTAAAGGTCTTTTCTATATATACTTCCCACAGAAGAGTAGTATCGTAATTCAAACTGCTGCCTGCTTTAGTGCCTTCCCTGCCAGGATTTGTGTCAGCTGAGTCTTCAAAGCTGACAACCGACGTCACTGGAGAACCTACAAGATTCCCACTAGTAAAGTGTCACAAGAGGGAACATCTATTTTCACAGCAAACCAAATTCTGCTCCCTGACTAGCATATGAGAAAAATGAGTGCCTCACTCTTCACATCCTTCTCTCATTGTAAGGTCACACCTTTCTTTAATGAGTTTCCTCAAAGTTTACAGCAAGTTTCCTTAGTGACACAGGTAGGGTTTCACTGATCTCAAGCCAGGGCTGTCATTATAAGAGGATGGGGTTCCAATTTCTGATTAATGAAAATTATAATTATGTGCAGATAATGGAAGGAGAGAGAGATGTTTCCATGTTACTTTAAACAAAGAAGAGTTAAGGCCTTATCTTAACTATGCATTGGCACTGCAATGCGAAATGGTCATGCAAAATTAATTTTTAATGTGTTCAATTTATATTAAAAATTTCTGCAAGTGTGTGAATTTTTTTTCTAAGGCTGGAGTGCTACTTCATTTACAATATTCCCTGAAGGTGTTTTTTTTTTTAAAGAGACTCTTAAACTGAAGCCATTTTAAGGGTTTTATGAGACATTATGTGAGCTTTCATATGCAAGTTAGTCGTTAAGTACCAGATATTATATTCTGTAATATGCTTAAGTGATATTAGAGGCTGTATATAGCCTGCAGTAATGGCTATTGCTGCTTTTTTAATTTATCAAGAAAATGCTGCTTAAATAAGGAGCAAATCAGTGCTTGGGTGTAGAAAATACAAATGTAAAGGAAGTAACAATATTGTTGTGGTGTACTTTGCACTCTCAGCTTCACTGGGGAGTGAAACCAGGATCTACTTTCTCCTATTCCTATTGACACATGAGACAAGTCCCACATATGCAGTGCTGGACATATTTAAAAAAGAGAAATTTCACTGAGTTTCACTGAACTGGTCATTGCTCTCCAAGACTTGCTGAGAATTAATATTATGCCCCTGGAAAGTGGATTTTTTCTTTTTTTTTTTTTTTTTTTTTTGTAAAATTTCTGGCATTCAAACAAAGCAGCAGCTCACATTTGGACTTAAACGAGTGATGCCTTTGAATGTTCAGCCTACAAAGGGAAATGTTTTAGTTAAGCTGGATTCACTGGTCAAGCTATAAAAGACAGGATAAAAAAAAAAAAGAACCACAAACAAACCAACCCTCACATGGTGAACAAACTTGCTATTTTTTTCTCCTCCCTCCCTCCCTTAAGAACCAGAGGAGGGAAAAAAAAAAAAAGAGAAAGCTTTAAGCTGACAAGCTTGTAGAAATATAAAAGTCACTTGACTTTCCTTTCAAATGTGCCTCTTGCTCCATGTCCTGACACAGAAATAAAGCACGTCTGTGGTTGTGCTGCAGGGAAGTGGGACACAGGCGTGTTTTAGACTGACAGCCCTTGGCAGTGACACCTCGAGTTGGCCACAGAGTCCCCCACCTGCCCCGACCTCTCCGTGGATCCCAGCTGACTGCAGAGCTCGTTCTGCTTAAAATATTCCTCCTCTAACCACCGACCCCTCTTCTGTGCCCAGCTGCAAACTCCCGCTCTCATGCAGTCTTGTGATTGAAGAAACGTATCTCAAATGAAAAATAATCTTTTCCATTTTCCTTCCCTTTCCCAGCTGTTGATTCCCACCCTGATTCCTTCTCTGGAGCTGTGATTAATTTTTTTTTTTTTTTTAAATTTTATTTTTTAAAATCACATCATCCTTCTCTCTCTGTCCCTGCCTCTCCTCCCCCTCCTCTTCCCAGTCCTCCTCACAGCTGTGGATCCTCACTCCTCCTTCCAGTCGCCATCGCTGCCGTCCCTGCTCTCCTCCCTCCCTCGGCTCACTTAAATATTTCAGAGGAAAGTAATCCAGCTTCATCCAGGCTTTATGGCACTGCCTCTCCTCTTGTCTACACTTATCCTCACTTGCTGCCTTTGGGAGGAACGAGGCCCTCGGCACCCTCGAATCCCTGGAATCGGCGTCTTTAATGAACCCGCGCGCAAACGAGCGTCAAGTTAGGCCCCAAATGGGCCATATGGACCCCAGCAAGTCCTCAGCCAGGGGACTTGAGGACTCTCCATTGACGAGCAATTTTGCAGGGAACACTCGGGCTCTCCAAAGTGACGCAGCGAAAGCCCAGGATAAACATCTCCAGGCTCCCTCTGCCTGGTCTCCTCCCGCTCCATGACCTCACGTGGAGCGCCTGAAATGTGGTTAATGCAAAAAGTCGGTGGCCCAGAGGGATCTCCCTGGCAAGGAGGAGTTGGCCGGTGAGCAGCGGGTCTGTGCTCGGGGGGAGAAGAGGCCAGGATGGGGTTATCCGCTTTCCCTCGCAGGATAAACCCTCCCCGGCGCGTTTTGTCACAGTTTGTGACTACTCTGAATTCTCTTCATGGACCAAAAAACCTGGCCCCAGCTTCCCAACTCTACAGTGGCTGTCAGGAGAACTATATATTCACCAGATGACAAAAATGTTCCTCCTTTCATCACGAAATGCTCATTGATGGCTCCCCAGTCTTAGGATGAGGAAAACACAGTAGTCTCCGAGGGCAATAATTTTGGTGTCAGCAGCCCAGACTCTGGAGATTTCTCGTGGTAAGGGGACAAGCTGATGTGATCTGCCCATCGTCCCTCTGTGGAGGTGGCTTTTGCTTTTCTCTGGGGATGTCCCTGACATGTACTGCCTCCTTTTATGGCTGAACAATCTCAATGCTGCCAGATGAATCCAGGTTTGAGCCTTTCTGGGGTAAATTGAGGAGACTGAGGGGAGACCTCTACAGCTTCCTTGTGAGGGGAAAAGGGGGAAACACTGGTCTCTTTGTGGTGACCAGTGACAGGACCCAGGGAATGGCTGGAGCTGTGTCAGGGCAGGTTTAGGTTGGATCTGAGGAAAAGGTTCTTCCCCCAGAGGGTGGTTGGGCACTGAACAGGCTTCCCAGGGAAGTGGTCACAGCACCAACCCTGACAGAGCTCAAGGAGGGTTTGGATGATCCTCTCAGGCACATGGTGTGACTCTTGGGGATGGGCCTGTGCAGAGCCAGAAGTTGGACTCGATGATCCTTGTGGGTCCCTTCCAACTTGGCATAATCTGTGATTCTGCAAAATTCCTGGGGAGCTTGGAATGAAAACTAACAGAAGAAAACAAACCAAACAGATTGACAGCAGTAACAAACATAATAAGTCTCTCAACACCTGAATCACCTCCTGCCCCTTTACTCTGTGCTCCCACCCCTTGGTGACCCCCAGATCCCTCTGCTCCACTGCAGACCCTCTTTCCCAGCCACGCCTGTGCTCTGATTCCAGGAGCCAACTTTTATCCGGTTTAAAGCTCTCTCATATGGTCCAAACCATTTTTCCTTTCCCCAAGGATGTCTCTGCACAGAGGTTTCCTGTTAATGTCCGTGTGGTCAAAGGGTAATTAGGCCTTTCTACAGTCACCAGCTTTGCTCCTGCAATTTGGAGCTTGGAGTGGCTTCATCCTTGATAGGCAACACAAGCATCTGCTTCTCTTCTCCCTCCCACCCTCTTTGCACGCACAAAGCCTCATTATATTAATAAAATACTTTCCCATTCTTCACCTGATGAGCCTCTGTGCACGTGCCTGTGAGCCTGTTTTGCATGTCCTAT